TACTTAGATTTTTGTATTAAAGAACTGTAAAATCTGCACCTATTTGAGAATGTGTACTTTGTTTACATATAAATGATCAGTTAATTAGTATATTACACCTCTGAAGTAAAATTGATTGTAAAATAATTCCACCATCAGATTTAACTAATTTTAGAAGAAAAAAAAGGCGTTAGACCATAACTACGTGGAGATACGATTTAAAAAATAAAAAAACAAGCTTTTCATAAAATTGAAACTTTTTGTTGCTTGCAATTTCGTAAGATGGGCAAATACTAAAGTGAATACTAAGTACTTTCTATGGTCCATAAAAACTGAAATAGTGATAAATTTACGTAAAAAATAGCAGATTATTTTCTCTTTTAAGTTAACCTCTTTAATGTTCAACGGTTTAATGTTGGATAATCTTTTACTTAAGCCAATTGAAAATATACATTACACAAATAAACACCCTTGAATTACTGTAGTGATTACAGATGCAGCGATGCCAACATGTGCCGGACAGAAGATTATATTTTTGAGTGGTAGTCTTCTAGCGTATGATTCTCGGTTTAGTAAATTCGATTTATAACGTTATCACATAGCACTTCTAAATAATTCAAAGGCTTATGTGATAAGCTACTTTGTTAATATTAAACCGTGTTGAACATTTATTAAAAGTTAGCAAAATTTACCGAAAATGTGCCATTTTTAATTCTCTACCGTTTTTTTAAATATTTTGCCGAATCGGGAGCAGTTGGCATTGCTGAAAATGATAGAGATTTAGCACTTTATGTAATTTTTAAAACGAATGACTGTTCTTACTTTCTTCAACAAAAAAAAAATTGTAAAGTGGTAAAAAATTAAAGCGATTAGAACTTTTTGAGGTTCGTTATCGAAACAATGTTTTAAATCTGTTAATAGAAGAAAATAGATAACGATAACCACAACAAGGAAAAATTAAAAAATAAAGATAAATAGATCGAATGAAAAATTTTAAAAGTTTTCATTTAAAAAAAGTTCAAGAATTAAATTTGGAAATTTCAATACTTTTCCTTTTATTTACAAATTTTGGTAAATAAGGAGTAGGAAAAAATAATTTCTGTGCAACAGGTCTGGATTTAAATTCACACACATTTCTTAAAACTTTGTGAGAAATTAGCTCTCCCATTTTTTTTTTAGAGACGGGCGTTAAAATTTAAAATAAAATTTTTTTTACAAGAAATTATGTTGCGTTAAAATGAATTCAGTCTCTCTTTTTGACGTCCGAACCCGAAAATTCAGAAGATTTCAAATTCACTAAAATAGGATACATAAAATATGACAGGCAAAATACAGACAGATAATATGACAGACTTAATATGACAGATAAAAATCAAAATTTACGAATAAGAAGACACAATAAAATATATTATTAAGATTAATTATTTACGCTTATAATTATTTAATTAATTAATTATTTACGCTTATAATTATTTAATTAATTAATTATTTGCGCTTATAATTATTTAATTAATTAATTATTTAGGCTTAAATTTTAATTTTTGTATTCTAAATAACCGAACTCTGAACCAAACAGATTTTAGTGTATTTGTTTAGTTTGAAAGTAGTAAAAAAGTATTGAGCCTCAGTTAGCCGAGCGGAGATTTCTCTCAGATTGAGAGACCGAGCCCACGCCTGGCTCAGACTTGAACGGAGCCCAGCTTTTAGTCCGATACGTTATTCCCCCCCCCCCTTAAACAGATAGATATCAGGGGTGTATTTCTACTAAAAACCGATGTTGCTTGAATTTATAAACTCATGTATTTCTCACTCTAAACGTGTATTACATACATATTCATACGATAAAAAAATTTTCATGAACTTATAAAGTTTATGTTGTTTTTAACACTTTAGCCTCAAATATCAGGCACATGTATGTTTAAAACAAGTTGAAATTTTATACATTTATTTACCACTTTACCGTCGAAGGCTTTTGACTTCGGATTCAAATAAAAGTGTTTATACTTTAAATTGTAGGCGGCACTATCTCGTTTTTAAATAATAAACGAAAAAATTAAACTCTTGTACAGCCACTTATTACGTTTATGACAAAAGAAACAGTTCTTTTTAATGGAATTCAAACACAAGTGCGTTAAAAGAGATGAACTATTGATAAGGTTTTGAAGGAAAAAGTTTTTAACTCCTATTTTAATTTTGAACACTCACTTCGTCAGTTTTAAAACCTTGATTTTATACATTGTCTTTGCTAAAAACGTTTCTTGTATCCTCAAACTTTTACAACCAGTTATATATTTTTTCATGAAGTATAGATTCATTAATATGATGAAATATAACATCTTAATTACTTACAGTGTAAATTTGTTTATTTATCTTTGTAAATTTGTTATTATTAACTATTAGGAGTTTCTCAAACTTTTATTTTTATTCTATTTGATTTTTTTAAGTTGAGATGTTACATCGTCTGTTTTATCAGCATCGCAATTCAAGGACACTTTTTGAAATAAACATTGCTTATTCAATATTCATTATTGCGTAAATTGAATATGCAAATGTTATGCAATGAGTATGCAAATGTTTCGAAAGGGGGAGTTCCAGTGTGAAAAATCTCTTTAGTTATTCAATTTTTGTTGTTGTTGTCTTATGCTACTTGTCAATACCAACAAGTCTATTTTAAGGCAGAAGGGTGCCATCTATGTCCAAGAATTTGACTTCTGCCACGCACACATACGTCACAGCCCGTTTTATAGGGAGGACACATTCTCATACCCTCCATCCGCATATCGTAATTTTGACCTGAACCAGAGCACGATCAATCTTAGATCCACTACCTCTAATAGTATTGATTTGTTATGGGAACTTAGCGGACTTTGTGACCCAGACAGATTTAGGATGCACCAGTCACCATTTTGTACATTGGGAGTCTTTGATCGGCGGGGATGGAACTCATCTCTTGGACATGGGCCTAATGCCCTACCAAGCAGGTTATCCCGACCTTCAATCAATTGTAACTACCATTATGGTTTACATTTTAAATTATTCACGTTTAAATCAAAAACTCTCTTAGTATGCAAGTTAAATAATAAACTAAAAAATTGTGCTAGAAAAAGTAACTAATTTTAGTCTCTTTCAAATAAATTTTAAATTTTGTTAATCAACACATTCCGAGATTTTAATCGCCCGTAACAATCCTGTTATCATAATTATTATCACGGATTCCAAACAAGTTTAAAATATTTCTATACAGTGAAGGACAAAATCTTTTTAAATTTTATTTATAGAAATACAATTAAATATCCAAGCATTCATATTAGTGGGAAACATATTTCCCAATAAGTGTAAATCTTGACAGTTAAATTGTAAGGCTAAAAAAAAGCAGAACCAATCCACTTTTTTAAGCTTTCAAGTGAGGATACTGTTATAACGGTATGAAAAATATCTTGAAAAGTAGTATATTGTAAAACAGCGATAAGTTATTTTCATGCTCATACCTGCCAACTTTCACTCGTTTCGAGAATGTATCCAAGAGGTAGTCAAATAATTACCGAAGAAACAATTTGAATAAAAAAAATATTAATATTTTGAAACATTAATATTTTAACGAAAAATAATAAATTGCTATTGTAAAGACTATTATAATTTTATATATTTATGGTAATTATTTATATGTAGTGGTGGTCATACTCATTAATAATTGTTATTATAATTGAAAGAGTTACATTTGTTTGAAGTTACATTATAATTGAAAAGTTACAGTTAAAATAACATGAATTTCAGTATCACTTTAAGTATAAATGCGAGATTCTGGGAAGAAAAAAATTTCTTGAAAAAAAGTATTTGTATGTAAAAGTTATTAACAAATTTTTACGACTATTGATGTTCAACTCCGTAGATTTTGTAATTTTGAACCCAATCCAGAAGACAAGGAAGTCCTCAATCAAGTATTTAAGTATTCATTTGCCTCCGTGGAGGACTTTTTGAGGGAACTAACCCCCCATTTGTGTTACATGGAGAGAAAAACCACGAAAACATCCAACGGTTAGCCTGATGGCCAAAGAACTCTAACCCATCATCCGTCTACCCACAATCCACCACGTCTAGCGCAATCAAATATCAACAATAGCAAAATATCAACTAAAATCTGCTGATAAGTGTTCTGAAATAAATCTGCAGATAAAACTATACACTAAATTTTGAAAATTTTTAACAAAATAGTTTTTTACACTTCGTGAAACAAAGTTATCTCTTTTGAACTTTTAACCTTTCTGACAGACAAATTATGCAACTTTTAAGTAATTGTGATAAATTTCATGCACAAAGTATACAAAATAATTCTGAGAATTACCTACATTCGTGAATTATTCACAAGTATGAATTTAAATAATTTTTTCCCGTTGTCACTATGTAGTAAAAAATGAATAAGAAAAACTTTAAAAAAATAAAGAAAGTATATTGCTCTACATATTATTCATGTTCTGTTATAGTTACATAGTGAGAATTATATATTATTTGTACTTTAGATTATATAGGGGAAAATGAATTAGAAAAACTTTAATAATAATAAAGTAAGTACATTGCTTTATATATTATTCATGTTCTGTTATATAAACATAGTGTGAATCATACATTATTTATATCAGTGTGTTAGATTATATAGGAAAAAAATGAATTAGAAAAGTTTTAAAAATAATAAAGTAAGTACATTACTCCATATATTTTTCATGTGAGGTTATATAAACTTAGTGTGAGTTACACATTATTTATACTAGTGTGCTAGAATTACTAAGTGAAAAATGAATTAGAAAAATTTAAAAATAAAGTAACTACCTAGTTTTATATAGTATTCATGTACAATTATATAACTTTAGTGTGAATTATACATTATTTATACTTGTGCGTTAGATTATAAGGTGAAAGATGAATTAGAAAAACTTTAAAAATAATAAAGATAATACTTTGCTCTGTATAATATGCATGTACTTAACAACACACAAGAAATAGCAATTTAAAAATGATAATCATACCTTATTAAAATATCCATTATGAAAACCACATGTCTAATAACTGTTCTTCGTGTGGCGCGTGACTGGCATACGGAGAACTGTATTCGGATGGATGACTCGAAGATGGTGACAAATCTCCTGAACCTGTTGATGGCCCGCATGTTCCCCTGACTGTTAGTCCCACTTCCTCAGATGAAGCTACTGAAGAACATTCGTCCATAACATAATTTTCATCGGCTACCATACTTTGATATGCAGCACTGTCATAAATCCGTTGTTCAGGCATTCCAAGCATGCCTTGCAGTTGCCTGATGTACTCTATAGCAGCTCTTAAAGTTTCTACTTTGCTTAGTTTCTTGTTTTTTGAACCAGGTGGCACACGCTCTCGAAGAGTTGAAAATCCTAGATTGACGAGCCGGACTCTCTTTCTTTCTCTAGCATTTCTTCTGGACACCGCTGTTGATGGTCCGGCAGATTGTCCGGCAACAAATGTGCCCTTCTTTGTACTAGTTTCAGTCTCATGCTGTATTTTGTGAATATTTCGGTTTGCGTACACAATTTCGGATGGAGTCCGGCCCATGGCCATATTTGTCTCACGTGGTCTTGACATAGACAGTTGAGAAGAATTGTTGAGATACAACAAACGTCCGGCACTGTCATAGCTCATCATTGATACCATTTTAAGTCTATTGTCACACAAATCCACTTTATCAGAAGCGTCAACTAAACATTTTCAAATTAGTTTGAATTTAAAAATTCGATCTCGCTTTAAACCACATAAAAGTTCTATCCAATTCTTAAATGTTGGTATGAATAAAATCGAACTTGGATCTAATTCTTCTATCTAGGTTTGAGTAAAATCAACCTTCGATCTTGGTTTGACTAAAATAATACTCCGATCTAATTAAACAACATAAAGTTCTATCTAGTTCTTATAAATGTTGGTTTGAATAAAATCGAACTTGGATCTAATTCTTGTATCTAGGTTTGAATAAAATCAACCTTCGATCTTGGTTTGACTAAAATAATACTCCGATCTAATTAAACAACATAAAGTTCTATCTAGTTCTTAAATGTTGGTTTGAATAAAGTCGAACTTGGATCTAATTCTTCTATCTAGGTTTGAAAAAAATCCACCTTCGATCTTGGTTTGACTAAAATAAAACACCGCTCTAATTCTCTGATCTTAGTTTAAATAAAATAAAACTTTGATCCAATTCTTCAATTTTGGTTTCAAATAAAATAAAACTTCAAAATCAAAAGGTAACTAATGAATAATTCAAAAATACAAACGAATATCCCCGAGTTTCACTGCTCCCGCGTTTTAGAACTTCGAATTGTGCGCTGTGCGCGATATTTTCATCATCTACTCAACGCGCAGTCTCGAGAAGTTATGATGCAAGCTATTAAAAGGAGCTCCATCCCATCTTAGAAAAAGAATGGAATAAAATATTCTGTTCCTTCCCCACCAATCTCAGATCGAATGAAACTTTCAATACAGGTAGAGCACCCTGGTGGCGCGCAAGGTAAATACTTAAATGTTGACAAGACGATATTTCTGAATGATCCCCCCTTACACTCGTGCATCAGGAAGAACTTTTTTTTATTTTATTCTATTATATTTTTGATCCCCATCCCTCGTCAACCATAACGTTCTGACGGCTTCGATAGAGATTTCGATTACTAAGTCAAAACATTCGTTGCTGGGGTCTACCAACTTCTATGAATTATTTTGAGTTACGAAATATATCTTGTTATGAAATGACATTTTTCTATTGTTCAAAGACTTCGCATTTAATTTAGATTACTAAATTCCTTACAAAAATGTTGAAAGTTATTTATTATAAATTTAAGAGTAAACTACAATAAATATTAAAAAAAAAAAAACATCGTCATACACTATACTAAGTAATGTTCAAATACATAATTTTGCTTTAAGAATTCAAGTCACGAAATTTTCAAACAGAAAATTAAATCGAAAGAAAGAAAAAAAAAAAGATTTTCAAACAAAAAGAAAATTTCAATAAGCGAGAATTTCAAACAACAAAAATTGATCCAATAAAAAAGAAAAACGTAGTGAAATCACACATTTATTTTCTCTTTTCCTAATAATTACAATAAAAACTTTCTCAAAAATATTTCTCAACTTATTTATTTTTTTCCTTTTAGAGAAAAATGGCATTAAACACTTGCATTTAAAAAGTTACTTTCCATACTACATCTGAAAAAAAAAAAAAAAAATCAAAATAACTAAAACCTTGCCTGTGGTGGAGATAGAGGATATTTCAAAAGAATTGAAAAGAGAAGAAATTAAATTTTTCCCACATTTCAAAAAGTTAGAAAATACGGTATTGGCCGATTTGTAATCTCGATGGTTTATGGAAATATTAGTAAAATTTCCATGAGTGAAACATTTATAAGTAAAAACACTGAAATTTCTTAGTTTTCCGCATTTAACTAGCGTTGATTTAATATAATTGAAACTATCATTGCAATTAAATAGTTTAAACATACATATCGAAGCCCAGCTGATTATTTTACTGTGCTTTAACTGAAAGGGAAAATGAATTAAGTTCAGTAGCGTTCCCAATTTTTTTCAACTACGGAACTCTGAATGATCTATCCTCTTTCGGCGAAACCCTAAATTTACAAACAAGCACATAAAGACAATCGTGAATATATTAACTAATAAAGAATAACTTTAATTTAAAAAATAATTTAAATCGTTTTATCATTTCACGTTAAATTTGGTTTTAGGTCCGACATTTGAATTCGCAGTTCTGGAGCTGAATCTAGTCTAATTATGATTTTTTTCTCTCTTAAATCCAAAGCTGAAAATGAGAAAAATAAACCAAGTTATGATTTTCGTTGAAATAAGGAAAAAAAGAAAAGATGACGTTGAAGATATACATTGAAAATAATTGTACAGAAAACACATTTCTATATTAAAAAATTTTTTTTTTAAATAAATGCGTGGTATGATTTCATACCTGCCAACTTTTACGCATTTGGCGTAAAATTTTATTTTTATATTTAAAGTGGTAGTAAATATATACTATATTTTAATTTATAAACTTTATTTTTAAATGATTTTGATCACCACTATTCTTAAAAAAATTAAGCATATATATTAATATGCGTTGATATCATGGTTGTCAGCTGATGTTTCTTCAAATACAACGTATTTTTCTGCTTATAATCGAAATTCCATGTTACTACCACTGGGAAAAATCATAATGGAAGGGATTAAAAGTTGGCAGGTACGTGATTTATTCGATAAAATTCTTATTAAAAACATTTTTTATTGGCTTTTTACTTAAAGTAATTTCATAAAGGCGTCCGAAATATTAAATAAAGCATGGATCATAGACTTAATCTAAATACAATTACATACTTCAAAAATAATAATTTATAAATAATAAAAAAATAATAATAAATAATAAAAAAATAATAATAAGTAATATAAATAATAATAATAAAAAATAATAATAAATAATAATAAAAAAATAATAATAAATAATAAAAAAAAAATAATAATAAATTTTATTCTGTGACGGAATCATGGGATTCCTCAAACATCATTTACGAACCTCTGGTCTGCAATATCACTTAAGTTTTTTTTTTTTTTCTGGAAAAAAAAAGAGAGGGAGAGAAATAAGCGTAAAAGTCGGAGTCGTAAAAACAGTTATGGAGTCGTAGTTGTAGGCAAAAGAAATTTCCCTGGAGTTGGTGTTGGAAAAATTTGCTCGACTCCGGTTGATTCAAAGTAGTGTCCTATCGGTCGAAACGGAATCACTTAAAAATAAAATCATTAAGATTTTTTCTGTCATCAAAGGAGATCAGAATAGGACTATGGAGTCGAGGTCGAAAGAACTTATTTAGAGGTTGGAGTCTAAAAATTTGCTGGTTGGTTAAAATTTGGATCCTTATGTCAATATATAACCACTTCTAAATAAATAGATTAAGATTTCGTAGGTTGTCAAGCCTAGACAGCGGAAAATCTGAACAGGACAGGGAAGCCGGAGTCGATAGAAATTATGCATCAGTTACTCAACTCCAATTATTTTATAGTTGGGTCCTGTAAGTCAAAAGAAAAGTTTTTGATCTTAAGTTTTTTAGACTATATTTATAATTAGCATGTGTTGAGCCTATGTTTAGCTTAACTATTGAAAAGGTATATAAATCACAAAACCTAATTTATTTAGTACATATGAAAAGTTAATTAACACGGTCACGCTAGATTGTTTAGTCGGACGGCGAATCGGAGTAAAAACTGGTAACAAATAAATTTCATCTTTTAGTTTTTTTCCGGGAATAATAAAAATCCATAACTACCAATTGTTTTTAACGGATGCAATTTTTATATTGAATTGCTTCTTCGCCGTGATAAATTCCCTTACAGTGAATTGTTATTGTTGAGAATAGATTAACTCCTCCCGAATATTATCTAATATTGAAATAGTTCTTCTACCAGTATTTTCTCTTTTCCGTCCCGCCCTCAGGCGCAACACCCGGTGTTAACACGCGTTAAAAAATATATGCAAATGAATTACATGTATCTTTTATAATATTTGCCTACTTTCAGAACAATCCCTAAGGAATCTTCTAGTAATATACGAGTACTACTTATGAATTATGCCGCATGAGTCTAAATAATAGTTTACCTCAACATTTTATACAACATTTTGTTTTAAAATTCTTTCTTGCACTGTTATGCTTTTATATAAACTGTAATTTTAGATAAAAAAAGACTTTAAACTCTAATCGTACATAAAGATATTAAAATGCATAATTTGGAATTAATATTTACTCAATAGTAGTAGCATGAATATTTTCCAAGTATGCGAAGAAAATTTTACAAGAGCATCGGAATTGTTGACAAGTCATTAGAAAAGTCTGAATTCGAATTGGAACATTTTTAAGCGATTCCACAACCCGGAAACTGAATTAAAACAATTGAAAACTGAATCAAAACAATTGAATCCTGAAACTGAATCAAATCTTACTAAAAATGAGATAAATCCTTGGACCAAGGGTAATTTTGACTAATAGCACTTTTGACAATATTCCCTAACTTAACCAGTAAAACTTATTTTTGGAACAAAAAATTGTTGAAGAACCTCGCCTTAAATTATTTGGGTGGTCTGTTGCATTTATAGTTTTTATACAATGCTTCATGTAAGCTTTAATAGTGAAACACCTTGTTTAAATCCTGAGAAAAGTGAAAAAGGAAGAAAAAAAAAGGAAGAAAAAAAAAGGAATATTGTCTTGTAATTGCCCTTAAAATCAGACATATCTTTTGTTTGGCTTAATCGCTGAACTTACATCATAGCTAATCTAAATGGCTTAAAAAATAATGAAAGTTTTTATTTCTTTTATGACTAGGAACTTAAGCATTAAAAGAAAAATATGAACTGTTCTCTTTTTTTTTATTCCGCTAAAAGAATAAAAGGATAAGTGTTTTTTCAATTACTCTCTTCAATTCTTTTCAAAGTCGGTAAGTTGTTATTAATAGTGTTTTTAAACTTTAATGTTGTAATCATTTTTTAAACAGTAGTTATTAGTTTCAAACTGGTATTTCAATTGGATGTTTAATGCCATGCTCGCAGACTAATTTTCGAGTTGCGTTTTTAGATATAAATATTGAAAGTGTTTTCAGAAATGCTTAATTGTTGTTTACTGCTACGTTTTGAATTGATGTGGGCTATAATTATTGACAATAAAAACCTTTAAATACTGTTTATCCAATGAAAGATCTTGATATCTTCACAATTCTTCTTTGTGCTATAATAATAATTAAATGTGATAAATTTTATAGCTCAGTAAACGTATATAAATAAAGCGTATCGAATTGATAATCATTATTAGAATTTAAATAAAAATGTCATATTATTCACCACTGGCGTTAGTAGTTTCTTGAAAATTTTTATGCTAACTGAATATCTTCGAAAAACAATATTGAAATTTTTTTATATATATATATATACATACATACATAGACGCATGTTTTGTATTTTGTTTATGAATGCATTTTTTAATTTTGTGTATCCAAATTATTATTGATTTTGCTCATAGAAGAACGAGACACATTATTATTAAATAACTTACGGCTAAAATCAGAGGGCAATTGGCAGAAACGTTAAATTGCTTTCATAATTAGGTTAGATTTTAAATAATGGAATTAGATAAAATAAGAATCGATAATAGATTTTAAATTAGTTTTGTTGTAATATTTGTAATAATGCAAGGAAAATAAACATCTTTTTTCTTATGAATAACAATCATAAGAAATATAACCGAGTATATATGAGATTTGCTTAATTTTTAAGAGTTTTAATTTCCTGTCAATTTTGGGAATTCATATGGTCGTTTGCAGCTGTAACACAGACACGGATATTTAATTTACAATTTTTTTGGTTTTTTTTTAGAAATTTACTCTTTACTCTACTACTGT